TACAAACAGTGCATCATTTTTTAAACTTGGTCATTTTTCCATCCATCTGTACATGACATATGGTATATGTTGATAGCAGCCATTTCTGTCTCTCCAGAACTAACGCTAGCCCAGGTGTGTGTTTAGGGCCTGGCTATAGGGCTTTAGCCACTGGTCTTTTTTCTGTAGCCATTGGTATCTTTTTACTGCCAAAATATTTAATATGAATATGTGTTATGGGCTCATACAACCACTGAATCTTTTATGGTAAACGTATTCACTGTCTCATCCCTGTCTAAGACGCTAGACTTAGTGACTTTTGAGGCCCTGTTTACTTAGTAACTTTGTTTCTAAAAAGCGATGAGTGGCAAATCTCGTGAGTGGAAAGCAAGAAATATAAATCTTTTATAGGATTATTCTAATTTATTCTCATGCATGTTGACCACTTTCTTTATTCAGTGTTCCATAGTTTAACATAGCTTCACTGACCATGGTGGGCTACTGTATGATTTTCTGACACGGTTTACAAAGTTGCTTAGTTGGCACTCAATTTTATCAGTCAGACTTCAGCAAAATTTATTACAGTACAACAGCTACCATGGTCAAAACACATGAAACTGGAACTGCCCCCTTTTTTATTTCATAGATAAAAGCATTAGATATTATAATGATATATAGACGGCTGAACTGGAAATGTCCCCAGTTTTCATTTCAGAAATCTGCTCACCTTACAGGAATTGCCAGTGAGAATGCAGCCTCATTAAATCAGGCCAAGCTTTTTTTAGCTTTGCTTCGTCACTGATGTGAAATCACGATGTTTTAAGCTCTCTTCAAGGAAATGTGGGGAAAATGTGCCAAATTAAAAGACTGGCAAGAGTATTTAATTCTGGTCCTGGAGGTCCAGAGTCCAGCACAGGTCAGTGATGAACACACACCTGATTAAACTCATCTGTTATTTACCATGTTTAGTGGGTATGTTTGAGCAGAGAAATCAAGAGAATGTGTTGCTCTCCAGGAGCAGAACTGAACATCCCACTCCCAGATGATACAGTACACAGTCATTGTAGCCTATTTTGCTGTGCTGGTGTGAAAGATTGTAGGTTATGTAATGGCAACTATCTGCTCTCAAGGCTTCACGCATTTGAAAAGATGTTTTGGCCTTTCAAACAACTGGGTGTAGCAAGGGCTTGATTTACAGACTTGTTTATTAGTAATTACCATGCGCCAAACACTGAAAGCTCAGACTGAATGCATCTGGTGAAAGAAGTGAAAGCTAACAGATTTTAGGATGGTGTCCTGTCAGGCTAATATTTTTGCAGTGCTAGGCCATATCAGAGATCAGTAGGTCTGCAGTCTAAGCTAATGCTATCAATTTTTAGAGTGCATGGGAATATGTCCGTATGTGACAGCAATAAGCAGGAACAGGAGCGTCAGAGTGACACAAAGACAGTACAGGATGTCCCATCCTGGACTGTCCAGGCCAGAGTGTTCTTTGCTGCAGTTACATGAAGCAATAGTGACACCTAGTGGACACAAACGGACACATTTTTGTGATCATGAGTAGCTTAATGATTACAGCAAAGATCAATGCTGTGTTCTTGCGGACAGATCAGCAACGTAGCTTATATGGGTCTTCAATTTTCACATGAATATGATTATTCACATGAATTCATTATTGATATGGCTATTGCTTGCATATGTTGAAAAACAGTCCAAAGATCCTTGAGATAAAAAAAAAAACAAAGAATCAAATTGGTGTTTGATTTGATAAGCTATAATTTCATGAAGGCACAACCTTTACAACTAAAACCTTTCACAGCACATAGTGCTAATGGCAGAAAAAAAAGAGATTAGATTTAGATTTATTAGTAGGTCTTTTTCTTTCTTTTAATTTTTAGCCATTAGTAGTTTTAAAAATACACTGATCGAAGATGGGTGTCTCAAGTACCATTGGTGGGGATTACTGCTCAAACACAGCTCATCAATTAATCAGTAGGTTTAGTTGGTGTGCAATATATCACAGGAATTTCAAAGGCATCCAATTATGTATTGATATATCCTGTTCATACACTGCTATGATACAGATATATCTGGGCTCCCCCCAGCAGAAAAACAGTGAATGCAACAGTAAATGGTCACATGAGAGTGCATGAGATGCAGTAATAGTCTTTAAAATCGTATGCAAACGCACTATCGTCCACTAGATGGTGACAAAACTGCTCTTTCTTTTTTTGTTTCTTTTTTTCTTTTTTTTTGGGGGGGGGAGGTCATATTGGTAAATTCAAAATATTGCTTTTTTATTTTAAGCATGTCTTCTTGCAGCATTTTAATTGTTGTATATGGTAAATAAATTACCCAAGTGACTGTTTCATGGTGTTCATTGTGGTGGTTAACTGATTTAGGTTATGACAGCTATGTCTGCTATTGCTATGTCTCCGCCAACTTAGTGTTCTAATGTAGGATACAGCTCTAAGTTCACCACAGCACAGGTGAGTAAAGAATAGCCTAAACCCACAGTGACGTAAAAGTCCTGTCACTTCTGTGAAATAATGAGTCAAGTAAAAGTACAATCACTTAAAAAAGCAATACAGATGCTGTCACCAACAGAATACAATGAAACACAAAAATTAATTAGCAATTTACAGTTAATGACTTATATTCATATTCTTCGCAGATGTACAAGTGTCTCATTGCGAAGTACCAGTTGTAAATACTCAGAAAAGTACAAATTCATCAAAACTGTACTGAAGTGCATTTAATTAAGCAAATGTGATTAGTTACTACTCACCTCTGATAGAAAACTATGAATCATGGGAAGAAAATGACGTAAACAGTGATATAAGGAAGTCCAGGTGACCCACAATGCCATGTAACTGCCCTGCCTTTACTGCTGATAGTTACACCACTGGCTTTATCATTATGCAGAGCTCATATTTCTCTTTGATATCCAGCACTGGGATGAGTCACTCTGATCAAAATGAACAGGAACTGATAGTTTTGTGGACATGATGTTATGGTCCTGCACACATATTTATGTTTTGTTTATGCATATTTTTCTGCTTTTAATTGACATTTAATATTTTGTGGATAAATTCTCATATTATCTGAAACATCTCATCTTAAACATTTCATATTTACAAGGCAGCTGTTCAGGTTCTGACTAGGCCTGTCACTATCAAGAAAATTTTGTTGAGTTATTATTATATAAATAATTGTTTACAAGTGAAAACAAGTTAAAACATCCTCTACAAAGACAAAAATCTTTACCATTTTTCAGCAATTTTCAGTGCACCCATTAGAAAAAAAAGGGTTTTTCACACACTTCACATATTAAAACTTGTGTTCACATGAAAAATGTGTGATCACGCGTGAAAACGTGTTCACAAGTGAAAAAAGTAAGTGAAATAGTGAAAGTGAAAAAACTAAAACACAGTTTTTGGTTGAACATACTGGATCAAATAAAAAAATAAATATATTTTTTAAAATGTGGCACACTATTGCACAGCCCACATCTTGTTTTTTCCCAGTATTAGATTCAGCAAATAAACAGTAATTATGTATTAAAATGTGCAGAAGTGTGTTCTTTGTAAAGGATATGTTGACTTATTTTCACTTAGAAAATCATCAAAACGTGATTTGACCAGGGACTCCCAAACTTTTGCATATGACTGTACTGGATGTATTTGTTCAATATATGCAAGTCTAAAATTGACTGATTAGCTAGTTTATTTCCTGTCAATACTCCCAATAGATCCCAACTGTAGACAGACACATCTCCAGCTCAAATAAACAAACATTACTCACTGCTGCCCTCTAAAGGTGTTACAGCACCAGTCAAAATTTAGAATGTTTGTTGTTCTCATATGACACATCTCAAAAGTTATGTTTCTGCTTTTTTTGTTAACATAAACAATAAGTGTGCTCATTTTCACTGTAAGATTGGGGAGATGGAGACCTCTCTGGTGGAAGTGTGTAATTGCACGCAACGTGCAGAAGAACAGTTTGTAACGTGAATTGTGCTTCGGACCCCTTCCCCAAGTGGATGAATGTATCGCTTGTGAGTGCGTTCAAAGAGCATTCAAAGAGAACTCAGTCAAAACTTGGTGAAGGGCATGTCCTCCAAGGATGTAAGGGAATTATTTACTATTGTCTTCATATCTTCATCTCCCACATTTTTAGCTTTAAATGACTGTGATCAACTCAAATAATGGTGTTTAGGTGATCATGTAATAATTGTCACAGGCCTATTTCTGACTAACATCCAAAGTCTAAATAATTGTAACTCCAGAAAAGCAAAAACCTGGAGAAGCTTACTTGTAACCGGAGGCAACACATAACAATGGCGACCAATTATTTTTTTAATGTTTTCACTTTGCATATCACGAAACATAATGACATCAAAAGAGTCATGCAAATGTTCACAGCTGATATATATATATATATATATATATATATATATATATAATATATATATATATATATATTTGTATGTCTTATTGCCTTTCTAAAGGGTTGCAAAGTTGTGTTAATAGTTATGTAACAAGGCTTTAACTGATATCCTATAAACAATATGTACATCACTGTTCATGTCGCATTTCAAGACCACAGAACAAGGCAAATTGTTGTTGTACACCATATGTTTGTGCTTCTTTATTTTTTTTTTTTCCTCTGGTCTTTCACATAATATTATTAGATAAACACTGTACCTGCTTTAAAATTGTAAACGCAGAGTGTTCGACAAAAACGTTTCTCGTAAAGGTTCATTTTCAATGTTTTGAATGTGCTCAAGATTTCTAAAAGTGCTTTTATATAATGTATTGCTAAAGCAATGGCATTAAATAGTCGGAGGAAATATACACATTGGATAAAGAAAAAAACATGAACTGTACAAGGGTATTCAATACAAATGATAGTAATACACATTTAGTTTCCACGCACAAGTTAAATGTTATCCGTTAAGATGATTAATGCATATTTTCAGGTTTTTTTGTGTGCCACCAACATCGGGGTGGGGGGGCCGGGGGGGAGGGGAATGGAAAAAAAGAAAAGCTTTCAGAAAAGATGGACATTTAAAACTGCTTCGCTGTGCTTTGTTTAGGTAAAGCTCTGTACTTGATGACGAAATCTAAATCACAATGAATAGGAAGGTAGTTCTACATTGTCAAATATGCATCATTCACTATTCACGCAGTGTTTTGTTTGAACCAGTTCGTACTATTAGCAAGCCAGCCAGCAAAGAAAAGTCTGTGGTCCCAAATCTTTCCTGCTGTTGTGCTGTTTATCATGTCTGCATTTGGAAGAGCGGGATAATGCTGTCGCCTCTTGGTCTTGTCTGCCCACTGAGAATACGATAAAGTGCATAACCAGTTCAAGACATGTTCTTATCCGGGTTATCAATGAAATCCGTTACAAGACACAGCCCTAGAAATGACCACAATGATGACAGATATTTTTTTTCTTTTGTTATGGACTGAAAACAAAAGCTGTGCACGAGCAGGTGGCATGAGAAGGGAGAACGACAGGTTAATACTCAATGTCAATGTCAACTCAGTAAAATGCTAGAAGGGGGTGGCTTGGAGTCGGAGCTCAAGACTTCCCCCGATGGATTCCGGTGGTCATTACAAGAGCGAAATGAAAGATATAGAGAAAAAGAGTCTGGTTGGTTGACTGTGCACCGAAGAATACCTGATTCAGATCCAAAAGGAGTAGGGTAATAGATGTGATGAGGGACTTTTTGTACATTTTCTATCAGTCACATCATTGCTGAAGCCGTTATCTTACGCCAGGGGTGTCCAACTCCACTCCTAGAGAGTCACAGCACCGCAGAGCTTAGCATTCTACCTCACTTAATGTCCGTTAGCTAATTACAAAGGCCTTCATGAGCTGATTTCAGAGTGTTTCTTGGAATTCAAACACATCACGTCTGTGATCTGTAAGCACAGCAGCCATCATCAACCATCTGTCCATGCTAGTACCGAATCAGTTCCATTCTGCAAGCACCTCAACTCTTTCTAATAAAGCTGCACTATGTAAGTTTTATGGATTTGGAGACCTCTCTGGTGGAAATATGTAATAGCACTCAGTGTGTGGAAGAACATTTTGTAACACGGGTTGTGCTTCTGAACGCTTCCCCAAGCGGATGAATCTGAGGACTGCAAAGGAGTTCAAAGAGAACTTAGTCAAAACTTGGTGTTGGATGTAAGTGAATTACCTGCCATTGTGATCATATCTTCATCAGCATAATGTGGATTTTGCATTTCAGACCTAAACATCGAGCCAGATCTTCATTTTGAGCTTGTGCGTGTGATGTTAATACGTAAAGACAAGGCCTGAAAGACTTCCCGATTATCTGATGACAAACAATCATCTTATAACCATGTTAAGGCCTTTGTACAAAAACGTCAGATTTTTTATCCCTTCCATTGAAGCACATCTTCAAATCACTCTCAAGTGAATATGACCTGCTTATCAGAGGCTTTTATAGTGCATGATGTCATTAAAGTAAAAGGGGGGCATAAATTCTAAGAAATTCTAAAAATCATGTTAAAATTTCAAAGATTATACTTTTCACTCAAATCGGCATGCTTATAATTTAATGTATAATTAAGAAGTTGTATATGTAAAAATATAGTTAATAAATTATTAAAAAAATGCAAAAGCATTTTCACTACTGGTCCCAGACTTTTTGACCCCAATGTACAGCCACCTATTGAGCCTACAGCAGAATTAGCTTGATCATTCAAGCTGACAATTGCTTAATTCTAAAGGATTAAAAAAGGGTCATGTAAAAATTAATTAAGTTTGACAATTTTTTTGTGCATAAACACACACAAATGTTATAAGCATACCTAAAATTAAATACAAGAAAAATGTGATGTGGGCCTTTGTAAGAACAAGCAAGCCAAGAACCATTTAGGAACCTTTATGTTTAAAAAGTGTGGTCAGTCACACTTTCCAAAATAAAGTACGCTTCAGAAATACTGGGCATGTATCGGCCTTCAGAAGAGAGAACACTAATCTCTGCAGTGCTGTGGCCCTCCGGGACCTGAGATTGACACCCCTGTCCAATGCCCGTTCTTTACTGCCACTTCAACCCTTTCGGCCTCTACATCACACTGCACTTGGCCTTCAGCTTATCAGCCCTCCGCTGCTTGCTGGAGCGCATGTTGAGGCTCATGTCACGCTTCTTGTCTAGGTTGAGCAGCTCCTGGAAGAGCTCGGTGACGTTGTGGTTGGTTTTGGCCGAGGTTTCCATGAAGGCACACTTCCAGTTGTTGGCCTGGGCCTCGCCTTCCTTGGTCTCCACCTCCCTCTGGGTCTCATCGCTCTTGTTTCCCACCAGCATGATGGGGATGCCCTCCACGTTGCCCTTGATGGCCAGCACCTGCTGGTAGATGGGCTTGAGCTCCTCCAGGGACTGCCGGCTGGTGATGGAGTAGACCAGGATGAAGGCGTGGCCCTTGGAGATGGACAGGCGCTGCATGGCCGGGAACTGGTGGCTGCCCGTGGTGTCGGTTATCTCCAGCGTACACACGCTCTTGTCGCAGCTGATCACCTGCCGGTAGGTGTCCTCCACAGTGGGGATGTAGGTGTCCCTGAAGGTGCCCTTCACGAAACGCAGGACCAGGGAGCTCTTGCCCACGCCCCCGGCCCCGAACACCACCACACGGTAGTCATTGCTCTGCTCCGGCATGCTGGTACGGTTCACTCAGGGGCGCGTCAGTGCTAACACTCAATGATTCCCTGAGATCTAGAAAAGAAAAGAGGAAAGTGTGGTTGGTAAAGATCATACTAACATACACTCTTCATCATTCTGTGATGTATTCTCTTTCCAATGCTCCAAGGGCCAGTTTCCTAGACACAGGTCAAACTTAAGTCAAGACTAAATGGATTGTTTTAAAATGGTGAAACACCATTGGCATTGCAGTTTAGTCCAAGACTAGGCTTAAACTATGTCCAGGAAAGTGGCCTTTAAAAATAAAAGTGGCAAAAAAAGTGGTTCTGTAAACAACTCTTTTTGTAACACTGCAAAAATGTATATCTTGGTGAGTGAAATCATCTTAAATCTAGTCTATATATCTAATATTTTTTATTTTATGTCTTATATATATACAACATATAAGTCTTCTTCGTTGTAAGACTATAAGTATACACGATTTTTTATTTTATCTTATTTTATTTAATGTATTATTCCCAGATGTTTTTACCTGTTTAAGTAATTCCAATGAAGTAAAATTATCTCACTTCATTGACAGATAATTTTGCTTAACCCAAGCCTAATCCATGAAACAAGCTAAATGATCTGGCAATATAGCGAGAGAATTTCACAAGTAAAAAATGTCTGAAGAAAAGTTTAAAAAATGTGCAATATTCTTATAATAATCTTAAAATCAGAAATATTATGAAATGACTAGATTTAAGATGATTTAACTTGGCTAAGTATAATTTTTACAGTGTTTTAAAGTGTGAAGAACCTTTTTGTAGAACCACAATATAATGTTCTACACCAATTATTATTATTTTTTTTTATGAACAGTATCTCCAAGACAATAATCATTTAAGAACCTTCATATTTACAAGTGAAGGTCAAATACATTTACACAGAAATGCCAAAGCAACCATCCTTCATGTTAAACAAATCCAAAAGCAATACTTTTTGGATCTCTTTACCTAAAAAGAAAAAAGTGCACAAGACATCCAAATACCCACTTATACCAATCAACAGCCTTTCTTTTTAAGGTCATATACACGCATATTAATGATGCACTGATATGGGAATTGTGGACACAAGCTGATCATAAATGCGGTAAATGAACAAAATGCACACATATTACAGGTTCTACTCTTCAGAATACAATAAATACGTCATCAAATATCAGTTTGAAATAGCTGTCAAATTGAAACATATGTCTGATGCCAATCATTTTTTTAAGCAAATATCTGCCGATACAGGTATGATTACGAGATCATTGTGCATCCCTAACAAAACTATCTGCAAACACTGCACTTACTGAGAACAATAAAAATGTAAAAAAACATCAATCCCTCAACGTCCTCTCACCCATAACTTTTCTTGGTATGACACAAGATAGTCTGTTAAAAACTGGGCTATACACACAAAAACAGAACATTTCTGAATGAGAAAACATCTACTGATTTATCATGTTCTAACAAATCACTGCACTAGAACTGGGCGATATTCATTTTATAACTGTCTTTTTATAATATGCCAGTAGACAAAATTTTGCTATTATTGGTTAAATGTGAGAAAAAGAATATGATGATCAAATTAAAACATTTTAACATTTAAATTAAAACATTTTAACATAAACATTGATTAAAACAGTGTAATCTGGCTCCTTTAAATTCAGCCATGCAGTGGCATTGAACAATTTCTTGTAGTGAGGAGAACTGCCACTCAATAAGTCTTGTGAGTTAGCCTGATGCTACATGGTGCTGCCAGCAGGTCTGACATGAATGGAAGACTGTGGAGCTTTAGTGCAAAATGCACTAATTTTTTCACAAAACAGCGCAAAAATATTTCAACACTATGGTCACACTTTTGAGCGCTTTTCAGCTACTGTTACAGGACTTTCTAACAACGCCATAGGTACATTAATGATGCCAGTGACTGCAAACCGCTTTACTCAGCTAATAAGCAAATCAGCTCACCAGCAAATCAGTAGCAGTAATGTTAAGGTCATCCTGCACAAAACCTGTTTGCTGTAGAAAACAGAGAAATACTGGTATGTTTTTATTAATTTTTTAATGTAATATTCCTTAACCATCCAACAATAAAGTACATTTCTGTGTGATTACAAAAATACTGAAAATTTTTAGCTGTTTAGCTCAGGGCATCATCTACCGTTTCCAGCCAAAAAATCTTCAAACCCACAAAAATGCATCAGATACCACCCAACAAAGTAAGTCAAAAACAGCCTAAGGTCATTGTATCCATAATATGAAATAATACTACAGCATTTAACAAACACAACATCAGTATCTTCTTACATTGTGTTATAGGTATTTAAGTTGTTGGTAGATGGCACTGCTGATCTTTTAAACAAACGTGTTTATTTTATCACTGCTTCAAAGAACTAGAAGCTTTTTATGTAACTTTAGTATCTATATTAAACATCTAAGAAACTGGACCAAGAGGCTTTAAATGATTTGAATAAAAATCAGTTATTTGATTTGTGAGTGTCTCAGAGTTTGTGCAAACTCATCAATGTTTTCAAAGTATTCACTTTTTTTTAGTATATTGTATACGATAGGACCCATGAATCCATACAATCAGAAAGGCAATAATATCGTAAGCATAACCATTCCTTATATTCATTTTTAAAACCTGTCAAACAGATCATGGCCAGTCCTCTACTATTACAGAACTCTGTATACTCATTAACACTCAGTGAACTGGATAATCTATGCTGTGTTAGGCCTGTATGAGCACCCATTACATCAATAATAAACTGGGTATGTTACTGGTGTCACTGATGCAGATGGGGGGCAACTGCCTCCTCTCAACAGTAGTGACTAAAATACATGTCAAAGTTTAGATAACTGATTGGATGTCAGGGGAAAATTAGGCCATTTTACATTCCGGCTGAATTATTACGTAATGTAGTTTCATAATTTTATATGAATATTTTATCCGCCAAACTAAACTAAAAAAAACAGCCCAAATTTTTTCCCTCCCGCCACAGCACACACTCCTCCGCTAAAATCTGGCCAATTTGGCAGACATCCGCCCCATCTGGCAACACTGGAGGAACAGGAAGTGGCCAGGCTCTCTTTAAACTCACTCTTGTCAAACAATATTAACGTTAATCAGAAATCATAACACATATTTTTTTTGTGACTTATTGCTGAGTGACACACAGTATCACTGAGGGTCGCTGTGCTAGCTCAGTTTTTTCAAGGAGAAGTGGGTGTGCCAGCTGAAACATGATATGATTACTGGTCAACATGAATACTGATCAACATTAAACCCACTGGATCAAAAATCAGATCAGTTTTTGCAGTAAAGTCATGATAGAAGACTACAGGAAAACATGTCTTTTAAATGTTGATTATGACTAATTGTGCTTAAAATGATCAGGGACATGAACCAACAACAAAGATCAGTTTTGCACTTGATGCTCCAATAATGGTTCTTTGCATCTGATATGGATACCTTGTTTTGCATAGCTAAAAATGCAATTAAGCTGCATAGATGCACATCACTGTTTCAGTTAGGGCTGATTATTTTCTATCAAAATCACTCATATCAAAGAGTGCTATTTTCAAAATTATTAGGGCTGCAATTTCAATGACAGCCTACATTAACAACAATGTTCCTTTAACTTTTAAGTAGTAAAATTTAACCCAACAACACAGAGCTTGTGAGCTGCCTACAGAGGAGTTGCCCAATCAGAAATAAGCTTGTGTATCGTGCATGTAAACTACAGCTAACTGTCAGTCTGGCACACTACATTCAGTGTTCAACCCTCAAGCAGAAAAACCTGATAGGCTGGTCTTCTTGGCTGAAAAACAGGGCTGGACCTCAAATGATAGCAAATAATCACAATTTAAAACTCAATCACAATATCAGTCAGAAAAATTATTCACAGTATTTGATTGCATCATTAAGAACATCTCACTGCCATTTTGGTATGCAAGCTGTAAATCTGACTGTGCTCTGATATGGAGCTCGTCTCATCACCGTAGCTGCAGCTACAACCCTTTCAGGTGGATGAAGATCAAGCAAAACAGACAAGAATGACCAAGAAAAAGACAAATACGTGTAGACCTAGACGCAGTCTCCAGAAAACGCTATGAGGAGAAGATTATTGTTTGATTGGTGAACTGGATTCATATAACCTGCACATATTCATATAACCTGAGAACATTCCAGTGCGCAAATAAAAACTAAAACATGGCTCAGAAAACTGCCAACGTTCTAAATAACAAACACACTAAGCTGGAGTTACATCACAGAAAAATGTGTAGGCATCCAGTTCAGCTCAATACATGAGCCTTAATCAGGACATCCCTTAAACTTCCGGTTTGATCCCCTGAGCTGACAGTACATGACTGAGGTACCCCTGAGCAAGGCACATAACCCCCAACTGCTCCCTGGGCGCTGCGGATAGGGCTGGCCACCGCTCTGGTCAAGTGTGCTCACTGCCCCCTAGTGTGTGTGTTCACTAGTGTGTATCAAAATCAAATAAAATCAAGGCAATACACTCAAATATATCAGTTAACGCTTAGTATACTCCCAAACATGCTTTACTGCTTTTGCTGGATCTGTTATGGTTCATCTCATAACAAACAGTCACTGCTCTCCCGAATGAACCTGAATTTGCCTACCAAAATGGTAGCAATGCGACTGCATGGCATCTTGGGAATACTATGAATAAAACCATTCAGCCCTATTTTCAGTGCAAAAATAACAGCACTGGTCAAGACTGCTGACATCGCATCAAAAACGTCATCAAATTGCCTAAGCCTGCGCTGCACTACCGCGCTGTGCTTTTCTCTCAGTGACTGTGTACTCTCTGCTTGTGCGTGAATGTGCGAATAGGTAGTGCATTCTCTGCTGCCATCAGCACCAAGGTCAGAATCTATTAATGACTCACTCATCTTGCTCTAGAGCAGCCGTAGCCATCGGTCTCCTGTGGATAGCAAGATCACACTGGCTATTTCCAGAGCTTTGAATTCTGTCTGATTTTCCTCAGGATCTTATTCCGACTCCTTCACATGAGAGTT